GGGTGAGCGGCGGGGAGAGTGGGGGGGGTTCTACAGCAGGAAGAAAACACTGCCAGACAATCTTTTGCTTGATTTAGCCAAAACTGAGGTAAATCTTAGTAAATGCAGCTTTAACTTGTAGAAATACCTAAACTGGCATTTGGAAATTTGACTTTACAGTAACAAAATGTTTGCTGTACACATGTCAGGGTCATGGTTTTCCTGATATTCCTGCTTCTTAAAGCTTTTTGTTTTTGGCAGCTTTTAAAATGTAGCTCTGGGGTCTTTGCCTTGTTGGTAGTGCATCCTAGCAGCTTTTAGACATTTTTCAGTTTTTGTAAAAAGACCAAATTGTCAAAGAAGTGCCTTCACTGTAACTCTGGTAATACAAAGTCATGGGAGTGAGAACCACTGTTTTCCCCCTGGTGTGGGCGTGACCTAAATGCTCTCTGTCTCTATGAAGTGTAAAGATTACTCTGATTTTACTTTTCTGGCTCTCTCTCAGACGGCCTGTGAGAAGACGTTTTCAGTGATGCACCACGTGATCCAGAGGACCATATCTTATGCTCATGGTAAGAAAAGACTTGTTATCAATGCGTAAAGCTTCGACTTGGCCCAGGGCTTTGTACGTCGCTTAACAGATCCAAGATCAAATGTGAAATCCTGGATTTTCTAATACCAGCCAAGCTTAACAGAATATTCCAGTTCTTTGACCCCCACCTGTATTGTGGTTTAGAAAAGCTGGATTCTGTCAGCCAGCACATACTTTTGGTACTTTGTTTTGATGCCAATACTTTTTACTTAAGTAAAGCGCCGTCTTTGGCCTACATTTGTTTACGTTCTGAAATACTAAGTATGCAGAATGAACTATTATCAGTTCATTTTTGCTTTGTGCTATTGGATGTACTGACAACTGACGTTGAATTCCTTTGATACTAAAGAATTAGTTAAACCCTGATGATTTTCAGGCAGGTTCTGCAGCGTTCCAACCCCTGCATTATCTCAGATTTACAAGAAAAGATCTCAAAATTCTGAGATGCTAATCTCGTAATCACATCTCAAAAATTGCATCATCCTGTAAATGGTTTTCAGCTGTGGGTCTCACCTGCTGCTGTTTCTGCATCTTTTAAGATGATAGACTAGTTCAGGGGGCTTAGCATCAATGGCACAGTGTTGCCAAACTATTTTACATTATAAAATTGTGTAATAAAAATTCATTTTTATCTTAAAATTTGTCTCTGCATTTTGATTTGCTCACCCCTACCTACCCCCGTCTCTCTTCCTCTCCCTCTCACTCTTTCAGAATTAGCGGGTCCTGGTCGAAGGCCCAGTCCGCCCCAGCTGGAGCTGAGGATGGTTCAAAGTAAAGCTGACATAGAAGACCCTGCTATAGTTACGAAGGCCACAGTCATATCCTAACATTACCGACCCATAAGACTCATACTAACCTTGTCCTCTTCACCCATAAATCTCTCAATTCCTGTATCTCAGTAAATCTCATCAGTCGTCGTTTTCGATCTTCAACACACCATCCAGACCCCTTACGCCCTTTAGTATTAACACCTTTAGTCCTTCCACTCCCCTTTACCCATTTAACTCTTCTATGTCCTAACCCCTTAAACAGAACCTTTAACCTCCAACTCCTACACTCTTTTACCCTGTTATGGAACCAGAGCCATGGATAGACAGAGTTTGGTCTGGTTGGACTGTGGCGGCCTGTTGTTGGCCCTTATTTAACAGCATATGGAGTGTTCTTTCTCTCTCCAAGATTTCTCTGATATTACTTATTTCCACAAATGCACTGGAATCAAAGGATGAAAGGAAAATTACTGTAATACGAATGACTGGACACTTGTGAGAAAACTCTGAGCTGTCTTACTAGCTTAAAACACAGAGCCCTTGGTGCTAGGCATTATTTCGAAGGATAGGTTGGGGATTTTTCAGGTTTGCCTTAATACAGTATTGACATGCACATATGTACGAGAGAAGAGGTCTTAGCCATTGTAACTTCTCCTGCACTCCTCACTGCCCTTGAATGTTTCCAGCTAGAATGCAACTATGCTGACAAAAAAAAAAGAGGGACAAAAGACACAGCCCTCAAAATGCACTCCAAAGTTCAGAGGCCCAAATGGTGCTTCAGCTATTAGGGTCAGATATCAAGAATCGGTTCAGTTGGAAATGGTTCCAAATTTCCAAGAACTATGGATTTATAAGACAAGTGCATTTCGGTTCCTAACAGATCCATATGTCAGTCGTGCTGCCAAGTGAACCACAATGAGCATTATACAGTCCACATGGACCTAACGCCACATCATTAGAGCATGTGAAGAGAGACCCGTTTACGTCCTGGACCATGGCTGTTCCTGTATTCTGTCATTCTCGCTGCCTTCTTTTAAGACTAAAGACTGTCATCACTGTATTTTTCATTGTTCTCTTCATTGTTCTCCTCTTCCTCTTTCTTTTCTTCATTCATTAAATTCTTATCTATGGTACTCCAAGAAGCAATTTCTCTTCTTTGTAATGCAGAGGAACATTTTGCAACTGATGCATCGCATGTATGTTTTGCCCTTGCAACCATGGTTTCGGCACCGCTCTGCATGGTTGCAGTCTACCATCTCTGGCATGTGCCTGGCCCCATATTTTCTTAATGATTCTTCTGGTTGCGGAATCCTCTTTTTGATGGTTGGCTCATACTCTTCTTCGCTCTCCTCACTGTCGTCTACTCTCTTGTCAGTGGCATCAGGTTCTAGATAGTTCAGCAGCAAATTTGCCAAATGTAGTTTGAAGTCCAGGAACTGTTCAGTG